ATATCTTTTTTATATATATAAATAAATATTTATATATATGTGTATGTATAGGTTAAAAAATCTGATTTTTGAAATGTGAAAGTTGTTTTGTTATTTTTGAAATAGGGTAAAGATAAAGTAGGAAAAATGAATTTTTCTCATTTATTTTCTATCCATTTGAATTTACTCGGTCCTCAAGTTGTTACAGGGACCTCCTGGACAACTTCTAGGGTTCCAAGTGTAAAATTATAAATTGTGTTTAATATCGATTTAGGTGGTAGCGCATAATTCAAGTATAAAAGGATGAGATGACCTTTTTTTAAACAAGTGCTTGTTCAATAAAATTTTGTTAATTTTTAAATAATCAAATTAAATTTTAGCCATATATTTTATGTGATTCAAAATTCAAATTTTTATCCACTTTTATTAAAATCTACTAAAAANAGTCCATCAAATTAAGCCATTGTTTGGTCTCCATTTTCTAAAAGTTGTTTTTTTTAACTCATTTTAATTAATTATTTCATCAATTTTTATTAAAATCTACTAAAAAAATCAAAACTTTTTCAAACAATCCCTTATTTAACTATTTGAGATTGATGCAATTTTGCTTTGGTAGGGATTAAAATCATTTTTAAGTAAATTTTGATAAAAATTGATAAAATATGTGATTGAAAAATTATAAATCTCATGAAATATGTTGTTAAAATTAATTGTTTTACTTAAATTGAATTGTAGTCACGAACTAGTTTATTATCGTATTTTGAATTATTTTCAAACTACCAAACAGGAGCTTTGTCTTACATTGACTAACTAGTTTAGCCCCTGTTTGGTGACCACGTGTTTAAAAAGTATGAATTTTTTTTTTTAATTTATGTGTAAAATATTGATTTTGCTAGAGAGAGAGAGAGCGGAGGCCACATGTGCCCTCCAGGGTAGCAAAACTCTTGATGGAAATGATCAAATGAAACTTCTCTCTCTGATCATGCAAACAAGTTGCAAATAATTAACATTGGGTTAATTTCACAAATGGTCACTGAAGTTATATGAAAATAACAAAACGGTCACTAAAATTTAAAACTTGCAGAAATGGTCACTCAACTTTCACCCGGTTTCA